GTAAACTGGGTGTTTTTACGAGGGAGGACTTTGGTTGTTGGTGCATTTCTTGATGAATTCTCCATCATCAGCAGGCTGTGGTGGCGAGGCAATGTAGCAGCGATTGGAACGCCCCTTCTTTTGGGAACTGATCATTATAAGGTACGGCGCATTTTCCCGGGACGGCAGAGGCTCCAACAAGAGAATTGAAAGCTACACCAACTTGAATTTGGAGGTACTATACAGGTGTACGATATGCTGTGAGGATTGTACTTTGTGGGCTATTTCATGCTTGCACCCGCTCCCCCGCACCGGTAATCATGAAAATGGGAGGACAAAAGAGTTGAGTAACATTGCTCCAGCAAGCAAGGAAGAAGACGGTGATGAATTGAAAACTCAGCGTGTGGTCAAACCTATAACATTGGTGGCATATCTTTGTTGAATTTATTCGTTTCGAGAGAGTTTTTAATGTCAAGCCTGGCCTCGTAACAGAAGGCATAAATTTTTTTTTTTAATTAATTTAAGCATCAAAATATAGGAGGAGAGGAATAAATTCGTGGACTCTGTCGCCAAGTTTAGCTTTAATTGCATTAGCATATATAGCATATATTTGAAGAATAGATTTTGACAAAAAGATGACGATATTAGCCTTGTATATGCTGTCGGATAGAAAAACAACCGGTCCATTGCCATTAGAAAGCTCCTCTTGCAACGATGGCAACGAAACAGTTACTGTTCATAGGAGTATTTATTTATTAATTAGAAGAAGATAACAATGAGGTTCACCTCTCAATTCCTTCCTTCTCCTTTTTTTCTCTTTATTATAAGAATTGTAGTGCCCTCTAAACAAACAATAAAAAAAAAAAAATTATGTACTCGACAGTTACCTTTTTATGGCCTAATTTTTTATTTCTTGTTTTTTATGGTGATCGGGATTTTTTTACGCAACACTTTGAAAACTGCACTTGCGCATCGCGCTGATGAGTCTAATAGTTACTGTATGCGGGTAAATCATCCTCGAAGGAATCCGTTTTAGGCACTACGTCATTTATTGTATTGTATGTACCCATGAAAACACATGCATTAAGAACTCACGATTCCAACCAAACTCTCGCATGGACGGGTTTTACGTATGATGTAGGTAGCATCTCCTTCCACCAATCCTTTTTTTTTTTTTTTTGATAAGAAGAACATATTTTCGACTAAATTGTTGAAATTGCTTAATAAAGTTGGGTGGGAAATTCCATAAGATGTAGATAACATCTTCCACCAGTCCTAGCAAACGAAACAGTACAGAAATTTTGGGAATTGATAAATTCACTTCAAAAAGGCTAGATTAGGAGTCAGCGAGTATAAGTCTGGAACAAAATCCTCAATTTTTCCAAAAAAAAAAAGGTGCTTTTTTTTATTTAAAAAGAAGAAAAAAAAAAGGAACTAGTAATTGAAAATTTATTCAAAAAGAATTTTTTTTCCATATTATTTGCTAAACAAGATTTTTTATTAGTTTTTAAATATCATATACTATATCACAATTGAAAAAGTGTTAAAATAAATTATCCCAAAAAAAAAATAAAGTTGCAAATTATAGAGTGTTTGGATAGCACAAATATCTCAAATGATATTTCGCTTGTATCATAAACACATTTTCCAATCCACCTTTTTATATTTTCAATTATTTTTTTATCTCACATACATCACATCACAAAAAATGCTACAGTAATTATTTCAAATAATACTCTATCCAAACAAACCATTGCGGAGCTGTTTAGTTTTCTGGGGTTGGCAGATGTCTCTTCCCAAACAGCAACACTGCTTGTGTACTTCTGGCGCAAGAGTATGTCGTGCTGACAGGAAGCAGGGACAACCACGAACCGAAGTGACAAACTTACCATACCAATTACCAATCAGTCGGTGACAATGAGAGTTTTGGTCGTATTGTCAAACTCGTCAAAATTAACCAAATTCACGACAAAAAAAAAAAAATTGGAAGAAAGAAAAGGACTAATTTATATATCTTTTGAAAAAAAAATAAGAAAGAAAGAAAGAAAAGACTTGCAAGTTCTGACCATTTCACGCATTAGCGCCTTTCGCAGTTCTGAGAACTGTTCAACGATTGAAATTCTTGCAAGTTTCAGAATTGGGATGCATGAATGGATGAACAAGGAAAAGGAAACCACGTGAATGCGAGTATTCTCCCGGAGAGGTACTTCTTCAATCAATTATGATTGAGTATGATGTGAGTAGAATCTTATACTTTTCTGCTCTCAATCTGTTTTCTTTCTTCCTTTTTTTTTTAAAAAAAATTTCTTTCCTTCGTTGGGTTGAAACTTGAAATGAAAGAATTCTGAGGGAAAAAGTATGCACAAGAGGGAAAGAAAAACACGTGAGAGGCACACGTGCAATGCCTTAACCATCTTTGGATCTTTTATTCGCCTGTGTTTTTTTCTTCTGTACTGTACGTATGTTTTCTGATTTCTGTCCACTGGCAGAGCATCTGAAGATGGAAAAGTTTCCTTTCGAGCTAAGGGTAAGGGGCGTAAGGCGGACGTGACGGTGGGCTGCCTTTTCTACGGTGTGGGTCGGATTTTGGGGTTTTTCGATCTGGGGCAAGTCTTCCAGCTCGCACTTCCGATAATCTGATTGGTCTCTGAAATTTTAGCCGAAGTGTAGGGCCTACTCCCACGTCATACGTCTTACTTGTCAGCAGCAGCAGCGGAAGCATTAGCGAGTAGCGACGGCAATCACCCGCCCCGCAGGCCCGTCCCGCCACCCGCTTTAAAAAAAATAAATATATAAAAAATATATATAATTATATATATAATATATAATTTAATTAGTTACAAACTTATAATAGTGATATTATTAGTTATATGTATTATATAATGTCTATTAGTATATATAATATAATTGATATTATTAATTATACTAATAATTATATATGTTTACTAATACAAATTATTAATTGATTATACTAAATTTACTAATACATTTATACTAAATCCCTAATTACACTTAATACAATAATATTTTTTTCTTAAAAAAAGCACAAGCACAATAATGAATTAGTGATTGTTTTTGCGCCAAAAGTGAAAACTTGCCTACTTTAGTTATATTTATTTCATCATATTGGATTGTATTCAAATATTTTTTGTTTGATTGTTTTTATAAGTTTCAATTGTAAAATTATAATGAATAATAATTTGATGATGTGTTAATATTTTAGTACTTAATTATTTGCTAAAATTTAACCATAATAAAATTATATAACAAATTTTTATTAGTCCCGCGGGGGAAGCAGGGCGGGGGCGGGGACAGGGCGGGGGGAGTTTGTAGGCAGCGGGGCGGGGGATGGGGGAGGGGTCCCCCACCCCGTTGTCATCCCTAGGAAGCATCTTCTTCCTCATAACCACAATTTTAAAACTGGTCCCATTCCACGGTTAAACCGATCAACCATTATAGAATCGGATTGAGTCACTAATTAATTTTTAGAAGATAGTTCTAACAAGAAATTCATTAAATAGTCAACGAATCGACAGTTCAATCGGTGAAACCAAACAAAAAATATAAATATATATCACTGATTGAACCATCGGTTGAATTAGTAACAAATATTTTCAAGCAAAAAATTAAAGTGGAACCTAAGATTAATTTGTTCATAGTTTCATTACAGGCTAATGTAGTCCAAATTAACGAAAGCTGAGCTCTTCCCTTGCTTTTCACCATACTAATCAAGCTTGGGAAATAAAGTAAAGATGGTAGAGTTTGTTGTAGCCTGTGCTTAAGAATTAAATAATATTATTGTTGTAATGGACAAGCATCATTAATTAGTTATTAGTAGAATATAGATACATTGACCAATTACTAGAAATGGGAAAATATCCACACAGGATCCCCCAGAAAACTACGTAGAAGAAGCATAGCAGACAAGAAGGTGCGGCTGAGGATTGCGTATGTATGTATGTATGTATGTATGTAGACACGCAAACCCAAAAGACAAGACCAATCCTTAACTTTAAAATCATTATTGATCTAGTCACTTAAAAAATAAGATATTCGAATGACGATAAAGTTTTAGTATAAAAAGCATACAAGTAATGTGTATATAGCCAGTAGTGTATACAAAAGTAGTAACTAACAAAGATATATATGTATATATATATGTATATATTAAATAAATAAATAAATAAATAAAAGGGCGGAGGGAGGAAGGGGTCTCGATCGAATTTAGATTCGTCCAACTGGCTGGGGCTCTTTTCTGAAAAGATGTAAAAATGGAAAAAGAGAAAAGCAAAAGATTACTTTGTGGAGCGACGTGTCCTTAAAGAAGGAATTGAAGAAAGAAAGAAAGAGAGAGAGGGAGAGAGATGCGATGCAACAACCGAACAACGTACGTAAGATAGAATAGAATAGAATTGATACCTGAAACCTGAGGCTTGGATTGGAATGGAAGGTGTTACTATTCATTAGAGCGCGTCCAAAGTCCCTCCACAACCAGAAGCAGACCACACCCAGAGTCCATCTCCTTCCTCAGCACAGCACAGAACAGCAGAGCAGGCATCTCTGACAATCTCGTGACCGCTTACGCACATATGCAAATCTCTTAGGAATCCAAACTTTCCTTCTTTGCAAAATCCCTGCTTCAGCCAACCATATTCTCTCCTCTTCGTCTCTCTTTTCCTCGGTGGTAATCTTCTTCAGTCGTCAACTTGTTCCACTCACTTCACTTTGGCAAAATTCTGCAATTTCACCGCTTCGTTCTCGAGTTGTCATATATATGAACAGAGACTTAAATAGTGCAAGGGAATTTTATGGGGAAAACCCCGGGGGGGGGGAAGGAAGCAGATTACCCACTACCAGATTTCGAAATTCGAATTCTCCTGTGCACTCCGTAATATAATATAATTGTATGATTAATTGGTGAAGTGCTGAAAAGTCAAGAACTTTGCACCTAACACTACTCTCTTTTTTCTTTCCAACCGTTCTATCTATACGCCATAGATGTAGTAGTAGCATAACAGTTTGCAAAAAGATATTCTTTGTCATTTTTAGTGCTTGCAAAAATCACGCCATTATCATTTATTTTCTTGAAGAAGAAAAAGCAAACAGCAGCAGTCAAGTTTTCTAGCATTAGCATCCCTCGGCGTTCAGTGCAAGGAGCACGGATGATGGACAGTAGTACATCGAGATCGCTTTCCCCTCTAGCGCAGAAATGGTACTAGCACAGTATACACTGAGCTTGAGTACGTACGATGCACTGAAGGCTTCAAAGCCTACGGGTAGATGACAATAATAATAATAATTTGCTGGCTCCTGTCCTGTGCCAATTATTAACGAGGAGGATGAGGTATTGAAATTCGCTTTGTGTCATCATTTGTTCGTATCCATTAGATAACTTGTGTTTTAATTCTCTTCTCTCAGTCGTCTGAGATAATGACCCATGACTGTTGTAACTTTTGTCTCTCGTTTATCTTTGGGTAGATGCAGTGCTTTCGGAGCAGTAGTATTTTGACGGTACCACAAGAGCAGTGCTTTCGGAGGCTCCTGTCGCTGTTCAAGAATCAGATGATGCCAACAGCTCTGAAAAAAATATCGTCCTCTCGACTGTTACTTGCCTATTTGCCCGGACTTTTGCTACCCAAGTCGAATCCAAAATATGAATATGGCATTATGGTGGGTGGGTGACCACTTGCCTGCACTCACATCACATGAATTCCGGTTTCTATCTTTAACCTGAATGAGTGTGTTTAGTTTTTGATATTTGGCCTGATTAATCAGTAATCACGCATTCAAAACAAAGCACTTTGGACTAGGAGTTGGTGGTAGTTTCAAGTTTGGTTCTCAAGGCCAAATGATAAAAGTGATTATTCAACATTCTTTATTTTGGTCATTAAACTTTTTTTTTTACTTAGCCAAAGTAGTTTATTTAACTATTTAAAGCATGCATTTTGCGACCGATAAGCACGCATTTGCTTTACTTGAGTGACGAAAAAAATGCACTTCTGTTAGTTTACTAATCCAAAATGTACTTATGTACTCATTAGTTTGGTGACCATTTTGGCTAAATAAAAAGTTTGGTGGCTAAAATATAGAATTAAAAATAGCTTGGTGACTGTTTACGACGTTTGCTCTTCCCCCCCCCCCCCCCCCCCCCCAGATAGAGTTAAGTTTTTATCATGAATTAACAAGATCTTGGCATGCAAAATTTTTTTTTTTTTTTTCCGAAGGAGATATAGGGAGGCAAGTAATAAATACATTATGGTGTTGTTTGGTGCCGTTCGGCTTCTTGTACCTTTGGGCTTCTCTCTAGTCCTAAGGACCCCGAGTGTGGCTAAACTGAAAAGGCCGACTTTACTGCTGCATTGGTGCTGCTTTGATCGTTCACGAGGCACGCCCCATTTAAAGATTCCCTTAGGCAGGCTTCTTGGATAATTGGGGAAGAAGCTACTGAAATAGGCCTGCCGAAATTCATCCTGACCTCCTGAAATGGGCCCCGTTACGTAGAGAACTTGGTCGTCAGCCACATCCCTGCAAAAACACAAATGGATCGTCCCATCGATCACATGGATGTGGAATTCTAACTTGCAATTTTAATTCATTTTAGTTCCTTGGACTATTCTGATTCATATTTAGCATTCAAATATTTCATCCCTCCAGTTATGGTTAAAACTTGAAATTTGCCAACTGCGCCCAAATGGTCCTGTTTTCTTAGAAAATAACGATAGTTGCATCATAGATACTATAATTTTCTTAGCGTCTAAGATGTTAACAAAATCGAGAGTGTTCACTTTTTTGGCGGGTGGCTATGTGAAATTTAGAGGCAAGTTTAAAATTAAATTGAGAGATTAATTCATATTATAAACATTCACGTCTCTAATATTGATATTTTTAGAAAGATATATTAGATGTCATATACGTGAGATAAAAAAAAAGATAATTAAACATATACTAAACAGGTTCTAAGGGACAATTATGCCAGGATGGAAATTGGAAAGTACAAAAGTAAGATAGTTGAGACATAACTGGCTGAATTTTTTTAACTATAAGTAGAATATGGAGGACTCAATTTAGGCATCTTTAATCTCACCGAATTTTGCAGGAAGATCTTCCTAGTCTAGTTTGAAGAAAGATGAGAGCGTGGTCTATGGCAGGAAGAAGGCGTGATTGATCAACTCCAAGGAAAGAGAAGGCGTGATTTAGGAAACACGTTTTCATTGGCTCAAAATAGAATTATGCTTCTGTTATGTACCAGTGGGGCGGATTATTCCAGAATCCACGTGTCCTCAGCTCATTGGCTAGTTTAGAAGTTAGTTAGCCGGGAAAAAACCATAAAAACTGAGGAAATCTCAGTGATAGGTAAGTTTTTGTCATTTTCCAATTAATTGTAAAGAAGGAATTGGCTCTGCCAATCTCCCTCTTCTCCTCTCACGTTTATTCCTTCATTTTCTCTCCCCTTCTACCTCTGAATCCATTATTTCTGTTCTGTATTCAAACACCAGACTCATATTAAGAAATTGAATTACCAAATCATTTCATTTCCAATCCTATTCCATTTTTGTTGAAACATTAATTCACTGATTTCTGCAAAGTCTATCACCATTGCCTTGAACTGGTTTTGTACCATTACAGTGGTATCCGAGCTCAGTTACGAGCCATTGGGATGACTAAGTCACAAGACGAAGTGTTGAAGAAGGATCTGTCTGACCTAGGCAGTGTGGTCAAGATACTAGAACACAGGCAAGAAGGTACAGAAAGGACCCTTAAGAATCTGGATCAAAAGTATGAGAGTATGATATCTATGATGGCCCAGATGATGGCTAAGTTGAATGGCAAAGACAAGGAGGCAGAAAGTAGCAGTTCAATAGTAGGTCCCAGGAAAGGAGAGACACAAGGGGAATGTCATGGCAGATTAGATTGGAAGGAGAGCAGATCTTATACTAGAGTGCCTAAAATGGAGCTGCCTAACTTCACGGGAGATAATCAAAGGGAATGGATTCGTAAGGCTAACAAGTATTTCAAGATCAATGGAGTGGTGGAAAACATGAAAACTGAGATTGCTGAGCTGTACCTGAGAGACAGGGCTGATACCTGGTTCCATGGAGCATTCAGTGGCAGGGAAGTCATCCCATGGACTGAACTTGCCACTGCATTGTGTGAAAGATTTGGTGAAGGCACTCCAGATGAAGCCATTGAAGAATTCAACAAACTAAGGCAGGAAGGGTCTGTAGCAGACTACTTGGAAAAGTCTGAGCAACTCAAAGCACTGGTAATGCCTTCCCTCCCTCATTTGCCTGATTCTTATTACAATGCATGCTTCTTAAGTGGCTCGAAGGAGGAGATAGTTAATATGGTCAAAATGGCCAAGCCCCTAACTCTGGCTAATGCAATAGAAGCAGCTAAGTTACAGGAAAAGAACTTAAAAGCCATGCAGAAAATACACAAGGGCCTCCCCAACACCACTCATACACACAAAACCCCATTCCACACCCAAAGCCATAACCAGGGAAGCTCTGCTACTCCCAGAACCTTAGACAAACATCCCACCAAAAACCATAAATATCCAAACAGCAACCAGAACCAATTCAAGAGGATCATTCTTAGTGAGTTCAACCTCAGAAGAAAGAAGGAATTGTGCTATAAGTGTGTTGAATCCTACACTTTTGGCCATGTATGTAAGCAGTCTCACATTTACCTTCTGCTAGTCAATGATAAAAGTGAGGACTCTGCATCTATTGAGAGGGAAAAAGAGGCTGAATCTGATGTGTTCTGTGACTGCATTGAGGGTAAATTGGAGGATGAACACATAGAAGTTTCTGTACATACACTAGCTGGGAGTGGTGAGTATATAACTATTAGACTGGGGGAATATTAAAAGGAAGGGCTGTTACTGCATTGATCAACAATGGAAGTACCCATTGCTTCTTGGATGAACAACTGGCCAGGAGCCTGGGACTAATCAGCAGTGGACCTTCCCTAGTAGTCAAAGTAGCTAATGGAGAGAGGATATAGTCCAGGAGTCTAGTTAAGCCAGTGGTATGGAAAATGCAGGGATACGAGTTTCAACACCAGTTCAATACCTTGAAGTTGGGAGGATGTGATATGGTATTAGGAGTAGACTGGCTTGCCAGGTTCAGTCCCATGGAATTTGACTTCAAGGGGCAGAGTGTGAGGTTCAAAAAAGGGAAACAACAAGTGAAGTTGAAGGGAGAAGGTCACCAGGTGCAATTAAGGCTGATAAAATGGAGTAGACTGCACATGTGGGCTAGGAAACAAACTTATGGGATCTTGGCTCAACTAAGAGCAGTAACTGAGGAGGTACCAGAAGCTGAGGCCATATCCCCAGAAATGGAAGGGATGCTGCAAGAGTTTGAGGATATATTCAGGGAACCCCAAGGACTACCCCCTGAGAGGAGTCATGACCATTCTATTACCCTTAAAGAGGGATCCAAGCCTTTCCAGATCAGGCCTTACAGATGTCCCTATGTCCAAAAAATTGAAATTGAGAAACTGGTGCAGGAAATGTTGGGAAATGGCATCATTCAGCTTAGTAATAGCCCTTTTGCATCTCTTGTCTTGCTTGTTTAAAAAAAGAATAGTACCTGAAGGTTCTGTGTAGACTATAGACAATTGAATGAGTTGATAGTTAAGAGCAAATACCCAATACCCCTTATTGATGAGCTTTTAGATGAGTTGAATGCTTCCAAGTACTTCACCAAGATAGACCTGAGAGCAGGGTACTTCCAAATCAGAGTCATGACTGAGGATATACCCAAGACTGCATTCAGAACCCATCAGGGGCTTTATGAGTTCAAGGTGATGCCATTTGGGCTGACCAATGCCCCTGCTACCTTCCAGGGCTTAATGAACCATGTGTTCCAAAAGCAGCTAAGGAAGACAGTACTGATATTCTTTGACGACATCCTAGTATATAGCTCAAGTTTACAGGAGCATCTGAAGCATATGGCAGAGGTTCTGGACATCCTTAAGGGGTACCTGCTGTATGCCAAGAGAAGCAAATGTGTTTTTGCTCAGGCACAGTAGAATACTTGGGGCACATCATCTCAGAAGAGGGGGTGAAAGCTGACCCTGGGAAGATTGAGGGTATGGTAAAATGGCATAGGTCAGAGAATGTAAAACAGCTGAGAGGATTCCTAGGCCTGACTGGATATTATAGAAGATTTGTCAGAGTGTATGGCAGTATATCCAAACCTTTGACTGCACTGTTAAAGAAGGACAGCTTCCAGTGGGGAGGAGAAGCTGAGGAAGCCTTTCAGAGGCTCAAAGGGGCCATGAGTGACACCCCTGTTCTGGCCTTACCTGATTTCAACCAATCTTTTGTGATTGAGACTGATGCCTACTATAATGGAATAGGGGCAGTCCTCATGCAGAAAAGGAGACCAATAGCTTACATCAGTCAAGGGTTGGGGCCAAAGAATATGGAATTATCCATCTACGAGAAGGAGCTACTGGCTCTTGTCACAGCAGTCACCAAGTGAAGACACTACCTGAAGGGTCAACACTTCATCATTAACACTGATCATCAGAGTTTGAAGTACCTATTGGAACAAAGAATCACCATCCCTCTACAGCAGAAATGGTTAACTAAACTCATGGGGTTGAGTTATGAGATTCACTATAGGAAGGGTAAAGAGAATGTGGTAGCAAATGCCTTGTCTAGGAGAGGTGATCAAGGTTTGGAGTGTACTGCAACAACTACCATAGTACCAGAGTGGATCAAAGAAGTGATTAGCAGCTACCAAGGAGATGACTGGGCACAAAACAGCATCAAAGAAGTATTACTGAAACCATATCAATTTCCCAACCTCAATTACCAAAATGGTGTTCTGAAGTTCAAAGGGAGGGTAGTTGTGGAGGTTGGGGAAGAGATAAGGAGGAAACTGATTAGCACTCCACATGACTCACAGATAGGGGGCATTCTGGCATACAAGCTAGCTTCATGAGGGCCAAGCAGCTGTTCTACTGGCTAGGCATGTACAAGGACATTAAGATAGCTATTTTGGAGTGTGATGTCTGCAGGAAATGCAAGGATGAGCATGTGTCATATCCAGGACAATTGCAGCCTCTACCAGTTCCACAGTTTCCCTGGAGCCATGTCACTATGGATTTCATTGAGGGGTTGCGTAACTCAGAGAGAAGGGATACCATTATGGTAGTAGTAGATAGGTATACCAAGTATGCTCATTTTCTGAGTATATCACACCCTTTTGATGCCCCAAAAATTGCTAGAATATTCTTGGATGGAGTAGTCAAGTTATATGGAATACCCCAAAGCATGCTATCAGACAGGGATAGGATCTTCACCAGTCAATTTTGGAGTGAGATGTTTACATTACTGGGAGCTACACTGGATCTCAGCATAGCTTACCACTCGCAGTCTGATGGCCAAACAGAAATAGTGAATCAGGTACTGAAAATGTATCTCAGAAGTTTCTCACATTTGGAACCAAAGAAGTAGAATCACTGGTTGACCATGGCCAAATGGTGGTATAACACCAGTTACCACACAGCTATTCAAATGACATCCTTTAAAGCTTTATATGGACAAGCGGCACCCCCACAGATAGCATTGGTGCCTTACACTCAGGCTAAGGTGGCTGTAGTTAGAGACTATTTGAGGGAAAGACATAAGGTTGACATTCCACTGAAACAGAACTTAATACAGGCTCAGGAGAGGATGAAAAGATATGCGGATGAAAGGAGGAGCGAAAGAAGGTTTGAAGTTGGAAATTGTGTGTACTTGAGACTGCAGCCTTACAGGCAAAGTTCTGTAGCTGTGAGAAGTAACACCAAGCTGTCAGCACGTTACCATGGACCCTTTGAGGTGATGGAGAAGGTTGGGGAAGTTGCATACAAGTTGAAACTGCCAACAGGATCCAAAATACATCCTGTTTTCCATGTCTCACTATTGAAGAAAAAGATTGGAGAGCAGACTACACCTATTCTGCAGTTACCAGAGGTTGATGGGAAGGGACACTTAAGGGTTGAACCCGTAGCAGTACTGGACAGAAGAATAGTCAAGAAAGAGAGTGCTGTTGCAGTGCAATGGCTGATCCATTGGTGGGAACAGATCCAGCAGAGGCAACATGGGAATTTGCTGAAGAAATTGAGAAATAGTTCCCTCAATTTCAATCTTGAGGGCAAGATCTTTTTTTTTTAAAGGAGGGGGTACTGTCATGGAGTGCAGAGGATTTGCAGGAAGATCTTCCCAGTCTAGCTTGAAGAAAGGTGAGGGCGTGGTCTATGGCACGAAGAAGGCGTGATTGTTCAACTCCAAGGAAAGAGAAGGCGTTATTTAGGAAACACACTTTCACTGGCTCAAAACAGAATTATGCTTCTGTTATGAACCAGTGGGGCAGATTATTCTAGAATCCACGTGTCCTCAACTCATTGGCTAGTTTAGAAGTTAGTTAGCAGGGAAAAAACCATAAAATCTGAGGAAATCTCAGTGATAGGTAAGTTTTTGTCATTTTTCAATTAATTGTAAAGAAGGAATTGGCTCTGCCAATCTCCCTCTTCTCCTCTCACGGTTATTCCTTCATTTTCTCTCCCCTTCTACCTCTGAATCCATTATTTCTGTTCTGTATTCAATCACCAGACTCATATTAAGAAATTGAATTACCAAATCATTTCATTTCCAATCCCATTCCATTTTTGTTGAAGCATTAATTCACTGATTTCTACAAAGTCTGTCACCATTGCCTTGAACTGGTTCTGTACCATTACAAATTTGTCTTTCACTCTCATTGATGAGGGGTTATAATTTTTAATATCTTTTATTGTCCAAGTACTGGTGTCGTTTCAGAAAAGAAATAATAATAATCACCCCCTTTTCTGTTCTGTCCTCAATAATGAATCCATCTTTTAAGACCCAAAAAACACCACGATGATCCGTGCTTTTTAAAGTAATTATTTGGAACTCTATGAGTGGCTTGATCTTCAAACTGATACTCGTAATAACCTAAGGCACGCTGGAGACCTGGAGACGCTGGAAACTGATATTCATAGTTCATACTATACTAGAAAAATAACTACCTGCAGAGGACCTGGAGACAAAGGTCCACGCTACATAACCTAAGGCACGCTGATCGTATAGAGTCTTCAAAGACTTGAGCTGAACATTTGCCAAGGCTTGATGAAGCAACAAACCAGAATAGTACTGCTTTTTCCCACAATCCATTAGCGGCTGATGGCCCTAGGGATGGACAAATGGCCTCGTTGAAAGCTTTAATGATTCATCCCTTTCATTTCTTTCTTTCTTCTTTTTTTTTCTTTTTCTCCAGGCATCATGGATATCCACAAATATGGTAGTAATTTTTTGGATGAAATAGAAAACAATTTAGAGGGAGAAGGCTGATCCCATTTCGAGATGAAAACGTGTGATCAACAAATTAGACAGTAATACATAATTAACTATTGAATTTGAATGTAATCGCTCGTAATACAAAGTCAAGATCCTATTAATCGAGCCACGACAAGTTGGGCACGATCACGCTGGTAAACCAGTTAGAATAGAATTGCTTCCCCGAACATAAACTCTTTTGTTTTTTTTTTTTTGGAAAATTTAGCAGTGTAACCCTAGATCTGTAACCTGCATGTGAGTTTGCCTGTTACCAAACACTCAAATCCCTGGCTCAGTCGTCACGACATTGTGACCATGATACATGCTAAGACAACCCTGGATTAATTAATCATTAACTACTGCCCCATCTAAAAGTAGATCCTTTTAGTACAAGTTGCCAATATGAAAGTACACGAAGACAGAGAGCTAGCAAGAAGGCATGCATGTCTGCATGCAATATTCTTATATTTTTATTCTTTCAAACGTACAATATGCTTGTGGCATCATTCATCATCACACATTCCTGGTGGGTCCCCATATGTCGAGCCCAGAGGGAAAATATACAAGTAGTAATATAGAAGGGGAGATTAGAGCCAAATGAATGAAGCCTATATAACATGCTATGGTACCATACAGAGTCATGTGTAAGAAAGGTCAGCTCCTCCAGCGGAGACATGTCATGCTAATTCAATTGGTGAAATAAAGAAATGCTAAGTTGAGCAAATCATGGGAACTCATCAAAACACTGCTCATGCAGGTCTATAGCACCATTGCCTAAAATGTTGCTCATAAGGTGGACAAAAGCAAGGGGCTATATCGTTATACTACTCTCGTAAGCTTTTGAATAGATATAGACAAACTAAGTACTTCCAATGTTTGATCGATGACATAACAGATATTGAAAATTCTAGCTAGGTACTGCTGCTGCTGCTGCTCTTTTGTTGTATAGACAGGCATGATGGAGTGGGTTTGGATGATGGTGGTGGTGTTGGAACTTGGTAGGTAGCGGGAGATCAGAGATGGAAACGAATGATATGGAGAAACCACTCACTAGTCATGAAAAGAGGAGAAGAATATTTAGGTAAGGGGACAAGAAAGGGAAACAGAGAACTGGGATTAATGCAAAATTTGCTACCTAGTATGATATTAGGGCGACCATGTGAAAAGCATGATGGCCTAGGATGACGTCGCTATAGTTTTCTTTTTCATCATCTTCTTCTTATTCTTTCTAGTTTATTTGGAAGAGGATGGCCGCCATGACCTCCTCATCAGTCATCTCCTTGGAAACGAACCAATGGGGGTGGAGTGGGGACTGGGGACTATGAGCCTAGATCTATTCCCAAGGCTCTCTCCATTATGATGCATTGTTGTATGTATGTGTAGGATTTGTAACAGCTAGCTGCTGCTAGGCCTGGCAAACTAAAGTGAATGAGTACTATAACTTATCTGTCAAATGCCAGTCCTACTACTGACAAAAATCAGAATTTATTGTACTTCGGGATCTTCCGCGAAGTTCTTGTAGTCAGAGTTCCATGTGTTCTGCTAATTTTGATAAGCAACTTCTGGAAGGTTTCCTGCTGATGACCAACAGGCTCGTGCATGAATTCATTAGAGTTATAGTACATACATTTTCAGTGGTGCCAGGATCCTAAGATCAGGTAAATCCCTGACACCACATAAATAGTAGTATCAGTAGAGTTCAAAGGACACAAAAGTTAAGCATGCATCTTTTTTTTCTATGTTATTATACTCCAAGTCTTGATTGTGCAATAATGTGGCAGTAAAGACCTTAAAAACGTTAAAAGATTTTATTCTTGTACTAACATCCATATTAAACCTTAAATCAAGACCCTTCTTAGGCGTAACAATTATGAGTCTCTTCATTGTTTAGCAGGTGGAGAATGTAAATAGAAAAAAGAATTTCAATTTTGTGGGGGGGGGGGGTGGGGTTGCGGGGACAGAGAGCAACTTGCAAAGTTTTCAAACTTTCTTGGCTTACAAAATAATTTTTCTCAAAATTCTTTTTTTTTTGTTGGGGTTTGGGGGGGGGGGGGGGGGGGGGGGGGGGAACTACATGATTATTAATTAGATTATTATTAACTTGGTTAGAAGAGTGGAAGTTTCAATAAATGGTGCGTATGGACTGAAGTGGTTAGGGTAGAAAGAGGATAGATTTCAAGAACTTTAAATTTATGCATAACCTCAAACCGAACCTTCTACAAGTAATTTCATGTCCTTGATAAGCGAATGATGAGTGAAAGGATTGCAGCTAGCCTCAAGTTAGGAATTGCTGAGGACCCGTAATTTCAAATTCTCAATGATACTCATGCTGAAGCTATGTTTCAAATTAGTTATTTCTTTGAAAATCTTCAGAACACGAATAGGATCCGGAATGCAGGATAAAAGTGTCTTCATTAGAGTCTTTCACGGATTATATATAAATCTGTTGATAAGTAGGATAGGAATTCGAAATCGAAGGAGCAAATGAGAAATAATTAGTGAAACTTGTAAAATAGCTAAATAGTAAATATTGATATTGTTGAATGCAGAATCAGGAAAATATGAACGGCTTCTGAAGTCAGTGATACCACATTTTTAAAGAGAATCAGTAGGCACTGTCCTTTGTTAGTTATTATCTCATTTAATTAGATTATCCCAGACACTTGGATCTACATGTATGAGAAAGGAAACTAAGTATGTGCTTATCCTACGGCGAGGGGAATGTTTTACCAGGAGAGCTCTTAAGATGGTTTCATATATATCAAAATGCAGAGTTCCTTATATTAAGATCGTTTCATATGGGGAAGGTTCCTTATACTCTGACGTATGTGGCTTGGTTTTACTTTTAGGGGAAGTCCTCGTCGAGTGGGCAAACAGGTCCTCTACGTTGCCGAAAAGGCGGCTTGCATGTCTACTGCAAGAACCCAAAAAGAAAAAAAGAAAAAGAAAAGTAACTGCAATTTAGTAAGTAGATAACAGTGTAGTATAGGTCAGAGGAGGACAAGGAGAAGACGAAGGTTTGGGGTCGGGGGTGTTTGTAGTAAGTACTGCAATGTAAAAGCATGTATTGAGTAAGCTTGGACGGTATTTGTTTCCAACTCCATTGGATTTATGTCTACTCCATTAAAATTATTGATTGAGAAGGATTAATTTTTTTTATACTGATACATATAATGTCAGTGCGTTAGATGAATGATAAATATATTTTAATTTAATTTTTACATATATATATATATTATGAATATAATAATAATAATATATACACTGTCACTGTATATATAAGATGTCACTGTATATATAAGATTTGATCAGTAGTAGTCGAGAATAGGTTGTCTGGGAATTTGATCAATTATTTGATGGCTAAGGCCCACGAAAAAGCTGTAGGTCCAACAGTCAGTGTATTCATAGGCAAACATGAAAAGGATAGAAGGTGTGTTGTGTGGAAATCAGGAGCACCAACTTGTCAAGTTGAAACCAGAGATGGAAATTGATGAAAGGGAGATACCTATAATTGACTGTGCACTAGTGTTCCTGAGAAGATAGCAACAACATAAATTTGGGAGTACAATATTTACTTGAAAGAGATGGATGGCCTGATGGCTGATAAGTGAAAAGACTTAAAAGAGTGATGCTGCCCCCTCTTAAAGGTTCATGCCACTGGAAATGCAGACAACAGCCTATATACTTCCCAAAACTATTCTCTCCCTTCTGCAACCTTGAACAATTAATATTGTGCTGTTTTCTTCCTTTACCTGCATTTTCCCTTGCCTCCTCTCTTGTATCGTTTCTGTCCACAGAGTATGAGGAGGGAATTGAGACACCAAGAAGCTTCACTATTGTCCACACATTCTGCTATTTCACAAGTAGAACAAAAACTTTACTCTTAAATAAACAAGAAGTATGGAAAGGAAGGGAAGGAGTTTAACTTATTCTCCTTTTTTTTTTTTTAGAGAGAGAGAGAGAGTTTGTCTTGGTTAAAGCAGACTTGCAGCTTATACTTCAATGATAAGAGAAGTACCAAATACATCTTCCACTACATCAGCACTAGCTTCCTCATTTCCTACCATTAATTAGTATTGGTACCCATTTCCGTGATGGATATAGCTATATACATATATACATACATGTGACAACAATGCTGCAATGTGCCATCCTTCTCAATCTGATATGCACAATAACATGACAATACACCTTAGTGATGATACTAGAGACCGATATCAAGAGACATGCATCTGTAGTCTTGAAGGTCAAGAGGACACTCTTCAGCTAGGGTCCAACGCTGGCTGAACCTGCGGAGGTATAGGCTGTTTGGGCCATGTCTTCCCCATGGAATTAAAGAGTAGCATTTCCATGTCATTTTTACGGACTAAATTGGATGGCAATGTTTGAGTGGTGACAGTCAGTGTACAATTGATTTTGCATTCAATAATTTAAAGAACAAGAAATAAATTAAAAGTTTTTTTTAGAAGTCCTATTAGTGAAGAAGAGATCGAATTAATGCACAACAAGAGAACAAAGATGAATAATAATACCTAAAGGATACCCCTAATACAACTTCCATAACATGAACGTCAACATACGTACAACCTTCCACCTCCATGCACACTATGTGACAAACAAAAATAAGAATCATGTCTCCTAGTCCATTAATTGTCATTTATCACCAGAAAAGGTGAAACAAAGCTCAAACGATATTCACATCGCAGACGAAAACAGTGCCACCAGCATCCTTGCCAAAAAAAACCAAAAAATTAGGCGGAGGGACCCGAAATTAATACCGGAAAAAGATACAAGGCAAAACCCTCGCTGAATCCTTTGAAGGGCTTAAAACCCCACCACCCCCGAGTTTTTGGAATCAAAAAAAAAAGATAAGTGTCTTCACAAATCAAGATCACCTAATCCGACTGATGCGCTAAGCTGAGCACCCCACCAAAAAAAAAATTCTAGAAATTATAAACCAAAGATTTCATCACTGGGGTCTACTTAATTTTGTCAAATTCTCATCACGGCGACGTCACCGTCACACAAATCAACGGCTCTATTTCGTTGTGGCATTCACCAGGCAATGGAGGAGGAGGAGTCTTGCTTTCACCACCGCAACCTCCTTCGCACGTGAGAAATTGTGCTCTGTTGGCTTCGAACTTCCAGTCCGTGATGGCTACCACATACAACATCAGCCCCGCGCAACAAACCTGGGCCGACAGAAGCCCCAGCCAAAGCCCACAGAACCCAACCCCAAGCCCAAAAACTAGCCCAATCGCCACGGGCATACCCACAAGATAGAATGCCCCAAGGTTCACGTTAGCTGCTGTGGACGGGCGGGCGGTCCCACGTACAACCCCACATCCAACGGTCTGTGGGCAGTTCCCTAGCTCACACAGTCCCAGAATCGGCAGCGCCGCTGATGTCAGCCGTAGGATGTTGCCATCATCAATGAACATCCGAGCCCACAAGTCCCTCAAGGATGTTGCGAAGCCCATAGCTGATAAGCCCATCAGGACCGCTATGAAGATCGACACCACGGATGAGACCCGAGCCCTTTCGGGCCGGTTTGCTCCGAGCTCATTACCGACCCGCGTGGACACCGCGAAGCTGAGCGAGGACGGGAATATGTACAGCAGCGACGTCGTTTGGATCAAGACGCCCATGGATGCAACAGTGGCCTTAGGGTCCACCAAGAGGCCACACAGCACTATCATGATCTCGTACCACCACCATTCCAGACAAACCGAGACGCAGCTCGGCCCGGCTAGCCGCATGAGCGGACCCCAGCCGGTCAAGCACTCTCCGCTCACCTTCGTCCATGTTGCGGCGTGCAAGCCGGTAGCCCACAAGTACAGGACGAGCGTCGCCAGGACCACCAGGTTGGAGATGGCAGCCGCAGCAGCAACGCCTGCCACGCCGAGCCGGAGCCGGATGACCAAAACATAGTTGATGGGCAAGTGCAAAGCCGTGCCAGCCAGCGAAGCGAAGGTGAGCGGATAAGTAATACCTTGAGCCCGAAGGTAAATACGTATGGGGTGAATAAAAGAATTTGTGACAAGATCAGGGAGTGAAAAAACAAGGTAGGTGCGGGCCAATCGGGTGATAATGGGGTCTTGGTGCAAATAAAGAAGAATATGGGAAATGTTGATCCAAAGAAATGTGATTGGGATGGAGCAAGCCAGAAGAAATATAACGGACCTTTGCAGCGTTAGGGAAAGAAGCCTGGGAAGCTGTGCTCCGAAAGCCTGAGAACAAAGCGGCTCCATTCCTAGTGCTAAACCGGAAAGAACGGAATAACCGGTTATGTTGGCGAAGGCCATAGCTAGAGAGCCAGCGGCAAGCTGGATGTCGCCGAGTTGGCCTAAAAAGAGCATGGAGAGAATGGAGCGGGCATAGAGGATGAGGGCTGCGATTGCTATGGGGAAGGATAGCTTGAAGAGGGCTTTGGTTTCTTGGACGATCTCCGAGGATGAAGGTAGGGCAAATTTGGGTGGATTTTGATGGTTTTCTTTGGGGTTTTCTTGGACTTTTAAGGGCGTGGGGAGGGATAACAGATCGAAATAAAAGTGGGTTTGAGATGGTGGCCGTGGTGATCTTGTGGAGGTGGAGGAGGAGGTAATCTTTTGATGATCAATCACGGAGATGGTGGTGAGTTTGGGGGTAGTGTTTGGATTGCACATCGTTGGAGTTTTGTAGTACTCTAGCTTGGAAGATGATATGATGATGGAAGAGAAAGAAAATATACAGATATGGTTACTCAGTAGTAGTAATAGGACTTAAAAGAGTTGTGCAGCTGTTACTTCTTCTTGTTTTTTTTTTTTTTTTTTTTTGTACTTTTGGGTTTTAACCAAGCCAACTATGAAGTGTGAAGAAGACAAATTATCCCTGGAGATCCTCTCATGAAGAACACTCCCCTCTCTGCTCTCTACTATGTGTCTCGCCTCATCCGCCTGCTTTGCCTGGTATTAATAGAAGGGTTAAGGTGGCTTTGTCTTTTATTTTAACAGACTTTTCAATTTTATTTTTAGTTTATAGCAGCCCTTTATGGTGGGTGGGGTTGCGGGGGAGGGAATGATATCCTTTTCTTTCTTTTTTTTCTTCTTCTTCTTCTTTTCATTTATTTTATTCTTTTGGTTGCCTGCCCCTTGTGAGTACTGAGCAGTAGACATTTTGCTTTTGGGAGGTTCGGGCTCTTTACTTTATGGGCATGTAGTTTTTAGGGATGTCAGGACTGTCAGTTACAGGGCTCCAATTTTCTCATAGATACGTAGGCAGTTTAGGTAGTAAAACTGTAAACTGGGTGTTTTTTCGAGGGAGGACTATTGTTGTTGGTGCATTTCTTGATGCATTCTCCATCATCAGCAGGCGGTGGTGGCGAGGCAATGTAGCAGTGATTGGAACGCCCCTTCTTTTGGGAACTGATCATTATAAGGTACGGCACATTTTTCCCGGGGCAGCAGAGGCTCCAACAAGAGAATTGAAAGCTACACCAACTTGAATTTGGAGGTACTAGTACAGGTGTACGATATGCTGTGAGGATTGTACTTCGTAGGCTGTCTCATGCTTGCAGCCGCTCCCCCACACCGGTAATGATGAAAATGGGAGGACAAAAGAGTTGAGTAACATTGCTCCAGCAAGCTAGGAAGAAGACGGTAATGAATTGAAAACTCAGCGTGTGGTCAAACCTATAACATTGGTGGCATATCTTTGTTGAATTTATTCGTTTCGAGAGAGTTTTTAATGTCAAGCGTGGCCTCGTAACAGAAGGCATAAATTTTGTTTTTTTCGAATTAATTGAAGCATCAAAATATGGGAGGAGAGGAATAAATTCGTGGACTCTGTCGCCAAGTTTAGCTTTAATTGCATTAGCCAGCTGTCGGATAGAAAAACAACCGGTCCATTGCCATTAGAATTTAGAAAGCTCCTCTTGCAACGATGGCAACGAAACAGAGTATTTATTTATTAATTAGAAGAAGATAATGTAGTGGGGCCAATTGACAGTCGCCACATGTCAGCTTAACCACAGTGGCCCGCCAGCTCGGATTAGCCAGGTCAGCTGGAGAGCACCAGCTCACCCGACGTTGCCGCCTCTCCATCAGGTGGGCCTAGTGGGCCGCGGCCTCCAGACCATCCGGGGTATTCACGCGAAACTCTAGAGAGACTTCAAACCCTAGAGGATTCCGACTCTTATATGGAAACTACTATCCGCAAGCCTATAAATGTAGCTTCATACGACGACACAAGGTACGCCATCTACAGTATTCTATACTGTTACTCTACACTCAAGCTCTCGCTAACTTGATCGTCGGAGTTACTCTGGGAACCTCAGCCTCGTCTTTGCCCTTTCTTTACAAGATAGCCCGCTTGCTTTCCTCCTCTCAGCTCGTTCGCCCTTGGCCAGTCTGGTCCGCATCAACTTAGCTCAGGCCTTACTTTTGGCAATCGTATCAATTGGAGCCGTCTATGGGAAACACGTAATTATTCTCTTGCGAACCATGCCAAGGACTAGGTCCCAGAGGAACGCTGACGGATCCAAGTGGAACGAGCGAAGCGGCCCCCAGAATCTCCCCCGGGGTCCAATTCCAAGAGACGAAAGGACGGGGCTCTCACGAATCCCGTCTGAACAATTGGTTCAGACGGTGGCGGAAAACCTACCTACTTTTGAGGCAATCATGGACAACCTCAAAGAGTAGGCGGGAGGCCACTGTGACCAGGACCTAAGGCCCAAGGAGTGGAAAGAGTTGGACTGTCCGAGTCCCGTATAGGGAGTCCTAACCCTCGGCCAAAGCGGGCGCGTAAGGAGCTTACACGTGAACAGATCGAGGTCGTGGAGCCTTCCCACAAGAACTCCCGAACTAAGCACTTGGATCCCTTCCGAATGTTCTCCAGGAGAGAGCTCTTCATACTTAAAGAGGAATACCAGGTACAGGATGAGCTAGACCTACTTTTGGACCCTGAGGCGGACAGGTACATTGCCTCCCCCTTCGTGCTCGATATTGAGAACTATCTACTGCCCACGAAATTCAAGATACCGAGTATGAAATCCTACGATGCGACCACGGATCCGGAGGACCATCTATTCGCATTCTTGACACAAATGCGCTTACAAACTGCCGCGGACGAGATCAGGTGCAAGACCTTCCCCATGTTCCTGGAGAGAAGGCATGTCAGTGGTTCCAGGGGCTGTCTCCTAGGTCCATTCGATCATTTAGCCAGCTCGCGCGGCTATTCGCCGCTCAGCTCGTTTCGTCGCGAGCCTTTTCCAAAAGCACTGCTCACTTGATGACCATCCAGCAGAGGCCCGAGGAGTCATTGCGCAAGTACATGATGAGTTTCAATAACGAATCCCTCCAGATCCGTGACCGGGATGACAAGGTAGTCATGGCCGCTTTCATTAACAGGCTGCGTAAGCAGAAACTATACACCGAGCTCGTGGAGAGACCTCTCAAGTCAGTTCGGGAGATGCTGGACCGAACTCACAAGAAAGCCAACGCTGAAGAGGCCAATCGCCTGAAAAGCGCAAAAAATATTGAAGGATGACAAGTGCAGGAAAAGCACCGACCAGGAAGACGTGTGGCACGGCCAGGGACCGAAGAATACCTACGACCGCCTGCCTAGGAGTCGGCCCATGGGAGGAGATAAACCCTGGACTTCCCTCACAGCGCTTCGAGTTCAGGTCCTTGATGTGATGGAACAAGAATGACTCTCCCGCCCTCCCCGACCCTTGGCTGGGGACAAAAGCAAGTTGGATCGGGGTTTGTATTGCGTTTATCATCATGATGTGGGAGGATTGCCGCTACCTCAAGAAAGATATTGAAAAGTTGATCAAGCGAGACCACCTCAGACAGTTCATACGTGATGAACGAGCCGACCAGAGGCAAGGAAGGTACAAACAAGTGCGCCTAGGCTACTCACATGATCGACCTCAGGGGCCACGTAGCCAAACTTCCAAGCAGGAAGCTCATAACTTAGCTGAAGTGATCAATACCATTGCAAGAGAAGCCACGCTGACAGGAACGGTGGAGAGCTCAGTAGCAGGCGTGCTCGAACTGCCAGTTTCCCCTATGTTCAACAGTTGGGAAAATCTCTTCACTACAGGACAAAGAGGAGAGGTTAGTTCGGACAACATAGCTGAACTCATAAAAAAGAAGGAGAAAAGGGGTATGAGATCAATAATTTACAAGCTGTCAGCTCCTCGAGGGTGAGAGGTCGGAGATCAGGAGCAGGGTTATTCACCCCTGCCCAAATCAGCCCCGCGGACCAAACCTGGGCGTTGTTGAATTCCTTCACCTTCAACCAAGCTCCCGAACTAACCAGGCGGTCCAACTTGGCCGCTGGCAGGGACGAAGAAATGGGGTCGGACACCTGGGTCTCCTCCCTTCAGGTCAAGGGAGGAAAGCCTGTGTTCTTCACATAAAAGAACTGGGCCTTCCAACCCTTAATAGAGGAAGGAGCGTGCGAGAACAGCTCACGGGTTGGGAGCTCCCCCCCCTTCCCGCTCCTACGAGCGACGTAGAACCAACTGTGGACCGGACTGTTGACATTTATTTGAAAAATGACCTGAACAGGTCTAAGGAATATGGGATCTCGAGGACTCCGCATAAGATAAAGAAGCCCAGGATCGACAGAACAACATTAAGGACGAGTTGGGTTATCCGAATTCCCCAGAAGGTTAGAATTTGGTAAAGGAAGTGAGGAATCGGAAAACGGAGACCAGCTATGAACTGATTTCTGTAGATGGCCACAAAGCCTTAAGGAGATTGGCTGGCGTACTAACCAGGTTGGGCGACCCTGGCCTCAAACTGAGGAGGGATATCATACCTCTCCACCAGCTCATCTACGTTTGCCTGATCTAGGAGGGGGATATTATCTCAACTTCCCCGAAGTCGATGTCATGCCCCCCGGAGGTTCCTGCCCTGGTATTAATAGGAGCTGCTTCCAGGGGAATACACTGAACAGCAGCTCCCCCAACAGGCTGGGCAGGCTGGTCGGATGGGTTCATGGCTCAGATTGGTGAACGAATGGGAGAAGAAAGATATTCAGAATCAGACGAGCTGGAAGAAGGAGAGCTAAAAGAAGAAGAAATTATTTCTATTAGGGTAAGTTGGGCTACTCTACACTTAGGTGCCGAACTAGTGATGTCTCAATGTATGGAAGAAGAATACATAAAAGGAAAAGATGACTTACTAGCAGATAAGGAAGAAGAGCTGGTAGGTGCTTAGAAGGGGACGCTACTTTCGGACGAACACACTAAGCGTGGTGTAAGCTAATGGAAATTTCGAAATAGAGAAAATGAGGAAGGAAGCTTGAAAGTGGCGTCTGGTGGAGCTTATTTATAGGCCACTCGAATGGAAAGATGAAGAGCCCCAAATTAAAATTTTAAATTTAATACTAGAAAACCGTCGCCTTAGGTGACGGTTAGGCTGACAATCGCCATCATAATGGAACATGACCTTTGAAGTACCAATTACGCAAGCAAATGTAACAGTTACTTAGATAAAGGCAGCTGTCATGGGATCGTGGGCTCCACTCCGAACTGACCCGTTGTCTCGAAATTTGGTCCAAACTCATGCGACCTTTCGATAATTCTAGACTCAAAGGGGGGCTAGTGTAGTGGGACCAATTGACAGTCGCCACGTGTCAGTTCGGCCATGGTGCCCTGCCAGCTCGGATCAGCCAGGTAGGCTGGAGAGCACCAGCTCGGCCGACGCTGCCGCCTCTCTATCAGGTGGGCCTAGTGGGCCGCGGCCTCCGGACTGTTCAGAGTATTCACACAAAACCCTAGAGAGACTCCAAACCCTAGAGGACTCCGACTCCTATATAAAAATTACTACCCGCAAGCTTTTAAATGTAGTCTCATACGACGACACAAGGTACACCATCTACAGTACTTTATATTGTTACTTT